AAAATAACTATACATATAAATTCCATTGAGCTACATCTACATGCCAGGACCTCTTATACATCACATTCATCATGGAAAATAGATAAAGCTCCAAACCATATGTTGTAGCATAGGTGATAAACAACCATATGTACAGACCCAGCCCCATCATTGGGCTTATATAAAAATCATTGAAGTTCTACCTCTTTAACTTTAAATGGGTAATCAAAATTAAGCCAGCATTTCAATAGACTTTACAAAAATAAATGGCTTCGTGCAGCGCCTGAACCCACGAAGGTTGACAAAAGAAAACGGGTGTCATGACTAGGACTGACCACTTGGTTGGTTACCTACAGAAACAGACATTAGACAGAGTGAGCCAAGCTCAGTGAATAGTAATACATAAATAAAACGATGCTTAAATTGAAACATAACACATAGCAATGCATATAAAGATGTAGAGTTCACATAGTTAGTCTGATTCTGTGCTACGTACATAACGGCCTTAAGTTCAATCTTGCAACATAAACATGGTGGCTATAAGCCCTTGAAACATGGTGGCACGAGGCCCTTGAAACATGGTGGCTATAAACCTACAAAACAATCACCGTAGCTAACCCAAAAATAAATAAATAAATAATTTAACATGAGAGAGCCAACCAACAACACACCGGTAGAAGCAACGTAACCCAATGTTTCTAATATGGATCAATGACCTGCAACAAAATCACTCGCTTAAATTCGCTTAAAAAAACCGATAGATATGAAAAATCACATCAAAATGCATATGAGAAATCAAAAGAAATTGTAATGAAGAATAATTGCATCAAAAGAAACTGTACATGAAAAATGGCATCAAAATACAATACAATGAGTGTAAAATATCATAAACCCACAAAGGAACACCATCATCCTATTTACTGTCTTTGGGTCCATGAAAAATATACACACTCATTTGTTCACGATCATTATCATTAAACAACAAATCATATTTGTTCATCAACAACAACATAATCACCAAATCGTATATGTTCATCATCATCATAAAAAAAATAAAAAATAAAAAATAAAAATAAAACAG